AGTAAAGAATGTGTCGAAAGAAAACACTTTCGGAAAGAAGCAATGAAGCATGGAACACTGGAAAATTATTATATAAATGCAGGAATAAACTGATAAAAAACAATTTCAACTGTCTGGAAAACTAAACTATTCAGTTGAACTCGTCGATTATTCAGTAGGGTAATTGAGCTAAATCCTTCTTGACAATTACGACAATGAAGCAATTTCTGATAAAAATACCAGGAACGAATGAGAAATTCTAAAAATGTAAGAAGTTTTTGTTTAAGGAAAAATTATTAGCATGTGAAATAAAAGTATACAACGTTTTGAGAATGAAAGACGAGTCGAAAAACGTGCAAGAATGGTTTGATTTCCGATACTATTTTTCGTTCCAATACTTGGATGTTAGATTCAAATAAAACAAAATATTCATTATTCACAAAATTATTTTTTATTTTTTTCCCAGATTATATAAACATGTTGAATGGTTTAGCATTCATTTCCTTGGTAATACTTTTTTTCAGGACATTCATGTTCCTCCATACGGACGGTTTAACTGCGCTGTCATGTGAAGGCGGTGACTTCAAGTGCTTCTCGTCTAACGCGTTCATGTTTCACAGAGAAACATGTTCTTTTGCTCGGCAAATTGTCCAATAACTTTTTTTGTCGGGACAAAATGGGTAATATAAATATATTGTCAGAATACCTTACAAAACAGAAAACAAATTCCTTGTTTTTCATGATATACTAATTATTTTTGAAGCGTGTGTACATATATTTTTTGAGTGTACATATGGATGACCTTTCCGCGTAAAAAAGATACGTACACCTATAAGAAGCAATTTTCCCTTGGGAATAAAAGTTTGCGAAGGGAATTCACAAGCAATCTGTATAATTTTGTAACTAAAAAATTGGAGTTGGACGTTCTAAATTGCTCTCCTTTTGCTTTTACTGAGACAGCAAAGCTCCGCCATAATATCTAGACTCAAAAGTTCAATACAAACTTTACTGCTATGTGCTACATTTTCTCATCATTGTCCGGTTAGTAGCGCCTGACATTATAAAGACTATCCTGCCATCGGTAATATATTTAAAAATATGAAACAAAACTAAATTCATACGAATTGATGAATATTACAGACAATGTATATGAATTCAGATAAAAGTGAAATAGAGCAAGCAAAGAAACTATCCGCGGATAAAGCTTGTAAGGAGCAAACGCATGGAAGAGAAGAATAAGAGGAGAAGACAACAACGAAGTACTGACGTACGAAGACACGGATGAGAAAACATGGACATGGAGGAACGAAGCACAACACTCGTGGAGTCACGAACAACACGGATAAAAATAAACAATTATATAGAATAATTTAGGCACACTTTGCAAGAAAATTAGCGATAAACGAAACATGGCATCAACTTATTATAAAAATAGAATTTCGTTTTCAAAATTAAATTCATTTTCATCAAATTAGAAAAATTTATAGAAACTTAAAACATTTTAAACTATTGTATAAATTCAATAACCAACGCACAAATCCACACAAACGAAACTATAAAAAGTATCACAAAATTTTCAAGAAAATTTTTGAAATGATAAAGTACGCTTACAAGTAGACGGGAGAAAAGCTGACCATTTAGGTGCAGAAGCCTCAAGCGTTAAAAACTAGCAAACTACGAATAAGAACTGTGATAAAATATCTACAGATATGTACCCGCAACAATGTCTATGAAGTAAGCCTCAAAGAGTTTACAGGGGATTGTGCATAGTCCCTTTATAGTATAGTCTGCAAGCAAGAAAACACACGAGGTCACACATGGCACGAAAGCGAAACACTTCACTTCACCACAGTGAAAAATTATGGCCGAATTTACGCCAACTGTCGCCCATAATGCGGTCATGTTTTTCATTAGGTGAAGATATTTCTACCTGCAAAAAGCCATGGCTGGATGTGGGAGGTTTCATCATCGTCCAATAAACGGCTATCATCATTGCATGCATGTTTTCTGTCGGGCATTGGCGCAATACTCGACAAAAACATAGAAGAATTATGAGTGGCCGATAGTCGGACAATGTGTGGCCACCGATCCTCCTGCCAAGATTTCCAGCATGGTTGAGGCAGATTGTGTATTTTAGGCGGCACAATTAACTCAATGGCACCACAAAAAGACGTCACATGTAAAGGTTAAACAGGATATCCTCGATAGCTGTTTCTATAACTCCAATTGTAAATCATTTAAAATTATCGATCGCTGATCATCGGTCACCGAACAGTGGGACTGGATTTTTAATGTGCTGGCAGCTCACTCTTAGCTTGTTATAAAAGACACATCGCGTTCAGGCACAAGCAATGTAAATCGGTATTTCCAAGTAAATAACGTTGCCTCTAACATTGGACTTGGTGCTTGGTGCACATCTAGGCAGCAATAAATAGGTTATTTACAATTATACCAGACCGGCGATCAGAGATACGACACGAAACACTGTCGGTCTCAGGTCCGAACGAAGCCGGGCCTTGATATCATTCACACTGAAACTGATCAAGATAATTTACAGAGAAAGTTATAAACCAAGGCCAAATGACTCCTACAAATCGAGGAATTGATATGTGAAAATTCAATTAAAATAAAAAATGTTTTTATGTGCTTGAACGCAAAGGTCCACATATTTTTCTGCACTCTAGGAAGGCATTTGAATTGCCAAACCTCGAGGAAGAGAAAGAGAGAGAACTCTAGATCTAACTACGTAGTAGCGGTGCAGTTTCACTAAATAAGTAATCAGAAATGTGTGGTGAAACTCTAAGGCAAAAAAACAAACTATATTTCACGAGTTTTAAATTCATAGAAAACATATTTTGTGAACACGTGGACTTATGGTGAAGAATGATAGCTTTCAAGCAATACGAGAAAAACCAGAGCTAGAGGACACAAAATAGTTACAAGTACGAATGTTAAATGAAATACCTAGAATATGAGTCTATTGGAACTTCATGACCGTAATTTTTGAAGGAAACTCTTATATGTTGGCTAAAGATTTGAAAAATAATCGAAAATACTGCTTTGTTACAAAAAATATGTAATCAATTTTCATCGTATTGCTTGAACGCAATAATTGTAGTCACTGGTAGGTATCAAAGCACAGCGTTAAAAGAGAAGACGATTAAATAGAGGGCAAATCATATTGTATGATACATGATGGTGAAATTGACAGTGAAGACTTCAAAAATTATTAAAACGTATAATTTTATCCATGTTTCAAGTGACAGGTGAGTATGGCAAATTGAAACTGAGTAAATACTAATGATTTCTAGTGACAGCTGTGTATGGTCAATTGAAACTGGAGTAAAGACTAATGGTTTTTAGTGACAGCTGTGTATGGTCAATTGAAACTGGAGTAAAGACTTATGGTTTCTAGNTGACTGTCGGCTGAACTAATGCGCGTCATAATAAAAGCGTAGATAAAGTAACGGCGTCCGCTGTGGATAAATAACATGACGGAGGCAACTTCAATCCAGTATTCATGCTTGTTAGTGGCTTAAGGAATTTATTTAGAGGATAATTTAGTTTAGAGAACAAAACAAGGAACAATATTGAGACCAACAAACAAGGAACAGGAAGAAAGCCGACAAACAAGGGATAGGAAGGATGCCAACTAATAAGGAACAGGAAGAAAGCCATCAAACAATAAAGCGCAACGTAACAGATGGATTGTGCGATAAGCTGCATGAATGGTGAGGGTGATGACTGTAAAATTTGTGATGACACGATAATGAAAATAGCAATCAATTTGGGGACGGAGATTGTGCAGCAATTTAACGTCACAGAAAATTAGCTGATTGTTTTCCAGCCCAAGTTGAAAATGATGTGAGAACTGCTCATACAATTCCCAACTACTGAGTGCTGGACAACTGTTGAAATATGAGGGATGACTTGGCATCCCCACATTTTAGGCTCAATTAAATGTCATGATATGATTAATTCCATAATTAACTGCTCATTAGATATTTTCCAACTACTGTTATATAAAACAAGTTTTATTAATATTTATTTTGCCCCTGTAATGTGCTCATTTGACAAAAATCCCAGAATATCAAATAGATAAATAACTCATTCAGGTTGTCCCAACCGAAGATAGTTCAGATTATATTTATGGGGAAAAGATAAATATACTAAATGTTGTTAGCTTTCTAAAATCTCATGGCGTCAAAAATGACCACAGCTACAAGTCAGTCTTTGAAATATTTCTGAGTGTTGAGTTATTATATATTTTAAAAATTGCTTTACATTAGGTTTCTGTGTGTCAACACATTCTACATTCCGGATTTGAGGGATTCTTCAACCAATGCGTTTATGTGACTGACAAAAACGAAATTCTAACAAGTTTTAAAATTTTAGTTGCACGAGAAGTTCACGGAGAGATTACTAATACGCTGGATATACTGAAATGAATAATAGCAAACTGAACAGATTATTAGTTAAAGGTCATCGAAAAGTAGATTTGAGTAACTTCATTGAAGTCAAAATGAATGAACAATGAGATATGATTTAGCAGAACAACTCTATTGTTTTTTAAGTAAACAAACGGAACATGAGATGCATAGAGAGACAGACAGACAGAGTAGAGGAAGAGCAGTAACGTAAAAAGTTCATAAACCGAGCACTCTGAGACGTATCCAATTCAGAGGCCGTCTTACCGAGACGTAATCAAGAAAACGTACGTTCTCGCATATCTAAAAGCAATAAAATTTTTAACAAAATTTCCAAGCCGTGTGTTAATTTCAAACAGCAAACAACACTAAATCTAGTAACCCAGCAGCTAAATTATATGAACAGAGCGGCTGCGTACATAAAGGCTGCAACTGTCTGGCTCTATCTACTCTTATATCTGTTGCAGCGCACTAAGCATCGCTCAACAATTAAACTATCATTGCGGAATTGCTGCTATTTATGTATAGTGCCAAGGAACGTTTATTCTAGGTGAATATTTATGAAAAGTGCCGAAATTTGCTGATCCAACTAACCCAGTACAATTTTTGAACTTCGATGTTTAAGCAAAGGTACGGAGTACTGACGACAATACGAACGTTCTCTCTCTTTCGGTGTCGACGCTGGGGCAATCACTGGCTTGGCTACATCAGCTATAAGCGCACAAGGAAATTACACTCAAAGTCTTATAAGCACCGAGGTCAACTTTTTGGGTGCTACTCTTAAGCCAAATTTCATTATGTTTACTGGAATTTAAGTGCAGTTGTTTGCTGTGTAACCTCTAAAAAAGGAATTACGTCACTTCTTCAATAAAAGGGAAAATGCAAATTATGGTGTAGTGCTTTATTTACCCTATTACTCAATTATAGTTAGCAGTTCGCAAGACTTTTACTCAACTTTGAATCAGTTCAAATTAGATGAATATTTCAAAAACTACTCAATGATAAGATCTCAAAAATAGGTTAATACCAAATCAGTGCGCCTGTATATATAATTACGTATCTCTAGTCTATGTGCCACGGAAGAATGTCAAAGAAGGCAGTGCGATGTACAGTCGTCCCCGAAATATCGGCGGCTCCGAGTGCAAAATTAAGCTCTAATTTTTTGGGGGATTTTAAACGGCGGAAAAATTATACTTCAAATTACCATAGTCAAAGAGAAGAATGCGTGGGAAACTGCATCTGAGCAATTGCTCTGATTGAAGAAACGAGCAATATGTTAACCGACCGCATCGTGTCAATCTTCCCGTGAAGAAGCATTACTTGAAAGTAAGGCATCAACAGAGCTTAATTAAAAATATAATGGAATGAAGCAGAAGAGGAAGATGAAGTTGTTTAAATTTATCTCGGTCAATGTGAAGAAATGGCTTTAATTTTAGAATAAGGCAATATTTGTTATTAGAGTTGAAGAACGAAACATATTTGTGAAATATAACAATGTAAATAAACACTGTAAACAATGTAAATAAATACTGTTGGATGACAGAAAAGTTTCAGATATGAACTGAGAAAGAATTTTATCTTTTATCTTGAAAAACAAGAAGCGGGAGAGTTTAGAGTAAAAATAATCACCATAATTTTATTTATCCCTAACTTATTATCTGTAATTTATAATAAGATTAATTTATCTCCTTAAAAATGAGCTTTAGAAATGATGAAATTCGATCATAGAAAACAAACAAAAAAATTATCTATGCTAACTATAGACTGCAGAGCGCATTTGCCTGCACAGAAAATTCAACCTGCGAAAAAATTACCTTAATCAAAAATTTTTTAATTAAAAACTCAATTAAAATAATTTTATGAGAGAAAATTAATTATTGAATATCAACACCTGAAAAAATACAGCCTTCTGGTCTCAGCGATGCTGCCCCATCATAAAGATTAGTATTACTATAAGACAATTCGATAATTCGGAACATCAACAATTTTGCCAAGGGGCTAAAATATTTGAATTCGAATTTTCCTAATTCCTTCCTCATTGGAAAATAAATTATTACAATCCACTAATTTGAATCTGAGGATAAACTAAATTATTTGTTATGAGAATAAACTTAATAAACTTAATTAATTTATAATAATAAACTTAATTAATTGTTAGGAGGATAAACTAAATTATGACTGCAATCTGTTAACACAAATTCATCATAATTGATGTAAAAAATTTCTCTGTCTGTCATTTATGGCACACCCTTTATTAAATCATTTCAACAAATCATGGTAGAAAACAACTAAATATTTCGTATGAAGGTAAAGTTGGCACAATTCATTTCAAGGAAGGACATTATCAGATTTTCAATATTACTAACATTTACTATGCAGAAGGCATGAAAAAATTTACAAATTGCACGAAAATTCGTGAATTGGTAATTGGTCCTGAGGGTAATCGGTCCCAACTGAAGGTAACTTAGTCCTGATTGAAGGTAACTGATCCTGCCTAAGAGTAATTGGTCGAGGTTACCTGGTTTGTCGAGTTTGTTAAGCATGTTTGCAGGGGCAGACATTGTTCTCTTGTAAGGACATTTAGGCCCGAGGGAAGAGCAGAGCGTCTTCGTGCTGGAGCTTTGGACGAGATTTAGGGCCTCTTGCGCCCGACTGTACTTGCGGTGCAAGTTCTCGCTGTTGATGATCACGTTTCGCAGGTCTGGTGCAAGAGAAGCCATATTAACTTATGGCTTGTTCGGGATTACATAACAAGAATTGAATAATTATTAACTTATAAACTTAGGTACAAAATGCTCGCAGCAAATGATTACGTGGCCTAAGTTTCCTTGTAAAATGAAAATTTTAGTTTATCCAATGTCTGCGTTCCACGAGGTGGAAGCTCACTATTCAACTTTAAAATCTATTAACTAAATCATGCTTAACACGCTGACTCCGATTGCTTCATCTTGTAATTTTTTCAATCATTTCATTTCTTGTACTATTTTGAAATAGATTAAGTTGTTGCTAGACGGTTTTTTTGGACAAATTCCGTGATTTAGTTTTTTTTTCAATTGCGTTGGCCGGCTGAAATTTATGATAGGGGTACTCCCTAATTAAATTTTATAAACTGTAATAAACTGAAGAAATGGAATTTTTACACCGGCACCTACAAATACAATAGTATATATTGAGTTATAGGACTTTTTGGCTTTTTTGTTCGCGGATTTGGCAGTTTTTCAAGCCATCTGGCAACCCTGAATTATATACCACTACGTCCTGGAGAAATACACTTCATGAAACGCATATGTACCACTTCGGCGTCAACGTGTTAAAGAAGAAAAAGAGTTCAGTTTCAGCTGAGGTGGAATAGCTCAGCACCTTGTTCTGTTATGATCTAACCAACGAATTTCTCAACGTGATACAAATCTAAATGTCTGTCCAGGCGCTGTAGCACTTAAAACTTCACTACGACCGATTCTTTGCAGCTCCTAGATTCAGTAACGAGCTCAGTAACTAAGCACTTGTGTATTATGCAACCCAGTAAGTTTTAAAACACAAATTTTCGTCAGACTAAATTTTCTAGTGTTCACTAATTCACATTTTTTAGTGGCTAAGAAGAAATTTTCCGGTGATATCAATTGCCTTTAATAATATATTGCATTTTATTATAACTCATGTGCATTCCCAACTCGCGGCTTCTGGTAAAGGTCGCCCCGGTTTTCAAGGGTCACTTGAGACTCTAAGTAGAGGCCCTCGAAGCGGTTGATCAATTGCCTTTAATAATATATTTCATTTTATTGTAACTCTTACCTCGCGGCTTCTGGTAGAGGTCGCCCCGGTTTTCAAGGGTCACTTGTGACTCTAAGTAGAGACCCTCGAAGCGGTTGATCAATTGCTTTTAATAAAATATTTCATTTTATTATAGTTTTGGTGCACTCTCACCTCGCGGCTTCTGGTAAAGGTCGCCCCGGTTTTCAAGGGTCACTTGGGACTCTAAGTAGAGGCCCTCGAAGCGGTTGTAGAAGAACTCCCACGTGAGTATCCTGCGGTCCGGCAATGAGGAGGACAGTTGATGGAAAGTCTGGATTATCATCGGTCGATCCAGGATCACCCAATCAAACTGTAAACAAGGGGAAATTATGCAGCACGAGTTGTAATTGAATGCATGAGCTTCATTATAAGTTCACAATATACAAGCTGAAATCAAAGAATAACCATGATTCCGCTGACCTAACATTTCAACAATTCAGGTCCAAAACTAGTTTAAAAATGAACGCAGGTAAAGCATAAGCCATATTTTCATGCCAAATGACCAAGGGAAAAAATCTTTGAGTTTCCAGTAAATTCCCGAGCGGTCGAGATTTTAAACAAAACGCCAAAATAATGAACGTAAACACATAATTAAATTAATCGAGGGCAATTCTTGTAAAATTAGGGGTTATAACAATGACGAAAATGGTCAAAATTTTGCGAGATTTTTTCATAACGTCATTCAATTCAGGCAATGTGAAGGGTATCCAGTTATTGCATCTAAATCAATGCTCTGAAAATTATCGTCAAATTATATTTTACATGCCATTTGTTTTAAGGCATTTGTTACTAGTATATAATATAAATTCATGCTTTCATTCGAAATTGGATTCGAAAGTACAAGTAAATTACAAGATTTTCAAGTACAGCACCTGCTGCTCAAGGCAAGAGCAGAGAGCCTTAAGGCCAGAGTCTGGGAGGCTGTTGAGGCCAAGTGAGGCCCTCTGGGCCACTGCGACGTTGAGATCGTCCAGTGAGGCCACGAGGTAGCAGAAGGCGTGAGCCAGCGCCCCTGCCAGCTTGCGACAGCCACGCATGCAACTTGTGTGAAGGAACCTTCCCAACACCACCACCTTCTCCACTGCAACAATACCACCATCATTACCACCATGGCCACGCATGCAACTTGTGTGGAGGAACCTTCCCACCACCACCACCTTCTCCACTGCAACATCACCACCATCATTACCACCATGGCCACGCATGCAACTTGTGTGGAGGAACCTTCCCACCACCACCACCACCACCTTCTCCACTGCAACATCACCACCATCATTACCACCATGGCCACGCATGCAACTTGTGTGGAAACAGTTCCCCATAGTTCCTCCAACCACATAGGAAGACAAGTACACTTACTAATAGCTAAACGCAAATGTACCCACATAGGACACTACTTTCCAACCCTCGTCACCCGCAACAGCACAACATCACCTGACAGAGTCCTACACAACAATAAAGCATTTCACAAGATACACCTACAGCCTGGACCCATTTCCCAGTCAGACCACATTCCCAAAATGGCCACCATATCTGCAAATTTCATAGAAATACCAATCCGTCCTCGTTGATCCTTCCATAGAGCGAACTGGACATTATACAAGCAAACATTATCACAGCACACAGTACCCACACAACCTAATCCTACACTAGAAGAAATATACATGCACTTAGATAACTGGACACATTCAGAAGGCCTCCGATACCTCAATCCCGACCATAACACACCGTATCATTCCCGTCATAAAACCCACCCACGAAACGTTACTCATTCAAACACAATACCTAGCCACCGTCTCTTCAATACATTCATACCCACTGTCCATCGCTAGCGCTCAACGGACAACTCATCACCCTACGTCAACAACTAAAAAAATAAGCAAAACAGCATGTAAAATATTGTAAATAAAGAACTACCACCTCCTCATCACCTGCATAAACCATTCAAAGCCCTGACGGGTTCCCCAACCCCAAACAGACCCAAATCACCAACAACCCACCAAATCATAAGCAAGACGCCTTTTCATCTCGTACTGTTTTTTCCATTTCCCCTTCTTCTTTCTGGCCAACCTGCGCCACTTTTTGTTCTCATCCACTCTTTCCTCGCGGCACCGTAACAACAAAAACAAACTTTGAACGGCAGGGACGTACCGGCCTGGAATCGGACCTTCCAGTCGGTGTGGTTGAAGTTGGTCTCACAGAGCTTCCAGAAGACGTCGGGACCATCAGGCAGCGCGATGAAGTGCATCAGTAGCGCCACGCATACCTCCGCCACATGGGACCACTCGCTGCTTATCAGGGACCACATGCTGCAATCATCAGGAAATCAATAACGTCAAATACACCTCCGCGACGTGGGACCACTCGCTGCTTATCAGGGACCACATGCTGCAATCATCAGGAAATCAGTAACGTCATAAACACCTCCGACACGTGGGACCACTCGCTGCTTACCAGGGACCGCATGCTGCAATCATCAGGAAATCAGAACGTCAAATACGCCTCCGGCACGAGGGACCACACGCTGCTTATCAGGGACCACATGCTGCAATCAGCAGCGATAGGTTTCTACCAGCCAGCATTTGCTATAACTAAAGTTTCTGGGATACAAAATCAAGGTAAGAAGTTTCATGATTTATAAAATTATTACTCGTTTTAAAAATGTGGTAAGTGTACGATGATAAGATTTGGTAGTGGACGATGCGATATTGAATCGTAATTAAGCGTGACCTGAGGGATGGTTCTGATGTCTCGGGATCTGAGGATATAGAGGAACAGCGTAAACGTTACGAACGGGATCTGAACGAACGGGATCTGAGGATAACGGAACAGCGTTATAGAATATACTTTTTGGATTATAGTTCGGCTTACAGTTAAGGAAAATCTTAGTTCAGAAGTTGGAGTTTTAACATTGATGTCTTCGGCGTCCAGTTGAAGTATGGATAAGTCTAGAGTGTATCTTCTACTCTGACGTTAATTTAGGGTTACTGTCCTGTTTGACATGGACGGGAGCAATGGGGTATACCGACAGAGGTCCTCGCCCAAGACTGAGGTTTCCGGGTCTGGGCATTGCTCATATAGCTTCGCTATTTCACGTCAACGAGGGCGCGACTTGATAAACAGGAAAGGCTAAAACAAGGAAATGCTTATGAACATATCGCAGTGAAAGAGATTATCTTTCAACAAGGAAGAAATCAATCAGGAAAAATTCAGGGACGAATAATATTAACGTTGCCACCTGACATAAGTTATGTAAGATATTTGCACACTAAAATGGCGGAAACATTTGAAAGCTTGGAACGCACCGAACACACGTATGTATGTATGGTGATGTTCTCCTGGCACCAGAGCAGCATGCCGCGGTGCTGGTGCGCAGTCTGCGTGAACGCCTCGCCGTGCAGCACGATACGTAACCCAGACGTCCTCGTCCTCCTCCAGCGGCTGCGTCGTCACCACGGGCTCATCGTCCTCGCCCACCACACTCGCCGTCGCCACCACGGCCGTTGCATTCGCTGAGTCGCCACGTCATTCAAGTCAATTTTATTATTATTTCTCATGAACAGAAGATGAAATAAAATGTCTAGTCAGTTTGTATATTTTTTAAGGTAATAAATTGCTAACAACAATTTACGCGACAATGCCGGCTGTCACTACGCGGTCATCATAGCGGTCACTCATGAAGCCTCAACTCCTATCTTTTCTTTTATTATTGATCCTCAATTAGTTAAGCAATTAATTTTCATTGGAATTGAGAGTTTTTATATACATCATGCAAGCACGATTCCTCGTGTTGAATTAATATTATTATACTTTCTCATGCATTGCAAATAAAATTCAAATACGCGCACGGAAACAAAAATCTGTCATCTTTCGGAGCATGACTCAGAACATTTTGACATTGAAATAATATATTAAGTCATTCGTGCTTGAACCGCCTAATTATTTGCCCGATGGAGTTAGTGAGGAAATCTATCATTATCACGATTTTGAATGAACTTATGTCATATATAACTGGTGTCGAGGAAAAGCCATGTCCTCAAAGTAAATTAACTTAATTAGACTATGACAAGTCTAAAAAATAGATACTGGCCCGACTCTGCAATATGGGCCGCCTAAGACTCGGGGAGCACGCCAATCAGCCGCTGTATATTGGCTTCGTCTCATGCGTGTGGAGGGCAGCCAGTTGCAAGTTCGGTATGGCTCACTGGGCTCGGCAAACCCTTCTCATACTCTCATGTGCGACCATAATATATGAAAGCAAATTCTAATTTTCAATCGGAGGGACTAGCAAACCCCAGGATAACTTTAAGCCGAGTGTAGCGATCCCTGGTCAGAAGCCTGGATGTTACGCGAACTTTGTTCAGGATGTAGCTTCAAGGATAATTTAACTAGTCAAGGGATAACAAAAATTTTAGGATAAAATTTTCCAATTAGAAATTACTACAACATAAATGATGAATTAGCTAATAAAGAATAACTTGAGCTAATATGCTAATAAAGGATAACGATAAATAAAAATTAAAGGCTAACTGAACTTGACACTCGTTAATCTTACCCTGCGACCGTTCTGCTTGTAGTGAGAAGGCAGGGCAGCCAAGAAGAACAAGACGATAGTGATAAGAACGAGATTACAGTGATAAGGAGAAAACGACTGTGATAAAAAATGAAGTCACAACAATAAGAACAAATCAACAGTCATAAGAACAAGATTACAGTCATAGGAACAAGATCATAGTCATGAGAACAAGATTACAGTCGTAAGAATAAAATTACAGTGGTATCAACAAGGCGACCGCCATAAGAACAAGATAAGAAGAAGAGCAACAAGATAAGATGAGTGATTAGGAGAAAACAACAGTGATAAAAATTAGATTACAGCAATAAGAACAAATCGACAGTCATATGAGCAAGATCACAGGAATATGATAAGTAAAAAATGACAGCGATAAAAAGAAGATCACAACGATAAGAACAGTACGACAGTAATAAGAAAAAGATCGCGTCGATAAGAAGAAGAGGATAAAAATATGCTTAAAAAATCACAGTGATAAGAAAAGCAGACATGGATATGAAGACCATAGTGATAAGAACAAGAAGGTAGTGTACAAGATCTCAAGTACACAAGCCCGGTATGGGCATGTAATACATACACACTATCCACACGCAGATGATCACAGATTTGGTGATAATGTTGTTCAATTATTACATTAATTATGGAAATAGTATATTTGTCGGACCGCCATGTGAAAATAAAGTAATTTCGCATGTCGCATTCTGCACTTTTTTGGAGGGAAACGCATGCTTCTATGTTAAATCTAAGTTGCCCGGAGACGGTTTAAGGATAGGTCAAAAAATTTGACTAATTTTGAAGTGTTCGCTGAGAAAAAATTGACTCCTGCTTGTAAATATTTAAGTGTTCCAAATAGTAAGCGATCGTGCCAAAACCGAGACACCTACGACCGTCCAGGTGTCTCAAATACGTCAAAGTGTCTCTAAATTTGAGCTTTTGAGAATAAATCTACGGAAAACCCAACCAACTTTCCCAGAATCTCCGCGATATCCTTGCCCAGTTTCCAACGCTAGATGAAACCATTCTCACCACATGTTTCACTCCTCTAGCCGATGTCATCACTGCATATTTTGCAGAAAACAATCTTCACTTTTATAAAATTAATAAATAAATATATTGTAGAAAAACGCCCAAAGCCGTAGAAAGCACACAAGAACGTAGTTTGTGGCTGTGGCAACTGCCGCCATAACTTGCTCCTGTGGCATGTGCGCCACAACGTCCATGGCGCTCACTGTGGCTACCGTGGCCGTCACCACCTGCCAGTTGGTCGGTTGTGTCGAGTTAATAAAACCAACACGAAATTTCCACACGACACCTTGAAGACTTGAAGGAAAATAATAAGCATACGGCCATTAATATTATTAATTAATAATTAATAAGCTATTTTCAGAATAATTCTAATAAATATTATGGTATTATTGCTCAATTTTACTAGGAGTTAATTACTCGGTCGTTATGGCAGCAAAGCGTAAATATGCTTGAATAATTTACCCTCTTAATGTCACATTTATTTTAAACACAACGGATATTAAAAAACTTTCAGCCAATTCCCATAATGCAATAAAATTATTTAAAAAATCCCGAAGCCAAATTCTTCGCAAAATTCGTGATCAGATTTATGATTCTTCGCCATGTCTCCCTTCGCATGAGATCTTCGGAACACCAAACTACAACTCAAACTTCAACAGAATTCAGTTAACAATGCAGACACGGCCTTTGTGTTGTTGTGGAATGATTTGCAGCTTCGATTGTTTACTTAAACGTTTGATTGAGTTAATTTTTAATTGTTTTTATTAGGTGCTCGAGTTGAACCGTTGATCATCAATCAAACAAATATCGATTAATATAATAATTGTAATTTTGAGTTCTCAATAAGTTTTCATAACATTTTTCTCCTCTATGGCAATAATTTGTCGCTGCATCATCCCTGTAAAATAAATACAGACCTGAGGCAGAGCGGTCGGCGAAGCGTCGTTCGCTGCGCCGTTGGTCGCTGAAGAAGAGACGGCGGCAGCGGGTGTCGGCGACGCGGCTTTGGCGACGCAAGTTTTCGGGGCGTCGGCGACGATCGCCTGCGCAGCGTCGGTTTTGCTTTTGTCGGCTCCTGCGTCGACGCTCTTGAGAATGTCGGCGACCTGGCGGGAAGTGAATGAGTCCTAAAATACATCATTTGAGCATGAGAAGGACAATTTATAATGTACATTATTCTGAAGCGGCAAAAAACTGCCGGACAATTTTACATTAAAGCGGTAAACGTTCAAGACTGAATCTTGAATCAAAAGCTGCCCGTCCAAGGCTTGAATTGCAAAGTACAAAGTTTATGAATGTTTAGAAAAATGCAATTATAACGAAAATATGTTATAAAATTGTTACACAATTATATATTATAATTCTAAAAGAACAATAATCAGGCTGACTGAGTATTTTTAATCATTAGAATATTTGCAGAAGATTTACCCTGGAGTTAACAACGGGCAGTTTGGGGCAGAGATACGTGACAATCTCGGTGCATAGCTGGAAAAATGTGTTGATGAGGAAGCATAATGAGCACTCATGTCGACACTCATGACTGATGAGGTAAGGGGTGCGTAACATCTTATTCAACAGCTGCCACATCGTCGTGCTGATGCCGCTCGTGATGGGTTGATGCTTCGTCACGTTCTGCACCTCCATCTTACATGTGGGAAAATGATGCAAATGTCGTTATATATATAGTCTAATGAGTGCATTTAAGTTTAATAAGTGCATATATATAGTCTAATGAGTGCATGCGTGAAAATTTTTAAGATAAAAATTCAATTCACGGCCTGTTCGCGTGTTAATAGCATTGTTGCATTAAAAGTTAGTATCTGGAAACAATCTGACAGGCAAAATATTTTGTCATGAGAAACAAATTCAGACGAAATTCAAATTAAAAATGCTTGTTTTATATTGTGTTTAATTTTTCACGACAGAGCAGGAGTAAAATTCCACTCGGAAGAAGCATTGAGTTAAACATTTGTGCCTCCATCAAAAAATAAATAGATGTAAAATTCCTTTTACATCTCAGTAATTTCATGGTCAAAATTTGTTTTCGCGGTGAAATTTATTTGAGTTACCTGCTTGTAGGCGATGTCCAGCATGAGGACGTAGCAAGTCAAGACCAAGTCGGGGTCTGACTGCCTCAAGTCTTTATTCCCGCCTTTCCTTTTACCGTCTTCTTCTTCGTCGGAAAATCCGGGGCTGCTTTCATTGCCGCTGCTAGGCACGGGTTCTGCCGCCAATGAAATTCATTGCTTAGATGCGACATCAAACTTGTTACTATTAGATTACTCTACAGAAGATCACGCATCATATATTTCTCCGATGTTGAATTAACAGTTCTGAAATATTCTGCTTTAAATTCTATAATTAAATGCAGAATTAGGTAATTTTACTATTAGTATTCCATCGAAACTCAGTAAAACCTCCATGTATTGTTGATTTCTCGCAACAATACTCACGCAGCAAGAGTTAAAATCACAGACACTTTCACGTGTTTTCCTCAGATTTGTTGATTTTCAGAGATTGCCACAAATCGCTTTATTTGAGGTTGCCACAATTCGCTGGATTTTCGGGGGTTTCCGCAAATCGCTGGATTTAAAGAGCACAAAATGCGCACCAAGCTCGGGAGGCTCGTCCGTCGGACTCTGGCCCTCCTGATCCGAGCTCGCGGACGTCTTGCGCTGGGCCTTCTCCGGGGCCAGGAAGCTGCCCACGCCGTTCTCGAACATCTCCATCAGCATGTAGATGGGGACACTGATGTTGGTTGATGACAACATCTGCTAACTGTTCTCGAACATCTCCATCAGCATGTAGATGGGGACACTGATGTTGGTTGATGACAACATCTGCAGCATTAGAGGTAACAATGAACTGTTCACAAACACTGTCATTAGCTTGAACATCAAATTTAATTATGTTCAGCCGGAAAGAGATTCAAGAATTAAGAAATATATATATTTTCAAAATCCGTTCCATTGAAATTTATTTTCATAACAAAATTGTGTTACGCCATTAGACTCGTTACGTTACTCTCATATTCCCAATCAAACTCCATACTCATATTTTCTTTCACCATCAAATGCATTATGATTTACTCATATATATAATTAATCAAACTTCATATTCTCATTGCGCACTCACATCTACACGACTGTTTCGTAGGAGGTTGAGAATTTATTTAGCACTGCTTCAAACAAATCAGTTTTATCAGCAATTTTGTACGCGTCAAAAAATCAGTTTTATCAGCAACTTTTCACTGCTTTAAAAATCAATTTTACCAGCAACTCTTTACTGCTTCAAAAATCAGTTTTATCAGCAACTTTGTGCTGCTTCAAAAAGTCTGTTTTATGAGCATTTTTGTACTGCGTCTACAAATCATTTTTACCAGCAACTTTGTACTGCTTCAAAAAATCAGTTTTGTCAGTATCATTTTATTGCTTCAAAAAATCAGTTTTATCAGCAACTTTGTACGTAAAAAATCTATTTTACCAGCAACTTTATGGCGTAATTGGAAACAAAACCTATAATCAATGATGCACTAGAGAACTAAAGACACTTGCCTGCAGCCACTCGAGGTTCTGCTTCTGCACGTGGGCGGAAGTGTTCTCGAAACGCACGGCCAAGAACCTGAACATTTGTTCGCTGTCGAAGCCGAGCGGCGACATGTCGTTGTCCAGCAGCTTGCTGCAATTGTGTCTCTCTTATATATAATCAATCAAACTCCTTATTCCCATTTTCCTTCACCATCAAATGCATTATGTTTCTCTCTTATATATAATCAATCAAACTCCATATTCCCGATTTTCCCCTTCACCATAAAATGCACTATGTTTCTCTCTTATATAATCAATCAAACTTCATATTCTCATTGCGCACTCACATCTACACAACCGTTTCGTAGGAGGTTGAGCATTTATTCAGCACTGCTTCAAACAAATCAATTTTATCAGTAACTTTGTACTGCTTCAAAAAAACCAGTTTAATGAGCAACTTTGTACTGTGTAAAAAAAATCAGTTTTATCCGCAACTTTGTCGTGCGTCAAAAAATCAGTTCTATCATCAACTTTGCGATATAATTGGAAACAAAATCTACACTCAATTATGCACTAGAGAACTAAAGACACTTGCCTGCAGCCACTCGAGGTTCTGCTTCTGCACGTGGGCGGATGTGTTCTCGAAACGCACGGCCAAGAACCTGAACATTTGTTCGCTGTCGAAGCCGAGCGGCGACATGTCGTTGTCCAGCAGCTTGCTGCAATTGTGCTACTTTAATTTTCTGTTAATTCAGTTAATTTTGATCATTTACTGCCTAAATAATTATAATACTGTTAAATATATATACTGAATATAGTTGTTCAAGAAACGTGGCCTGAATATTGCTTTAGTTGAATTACAATTATTTACTTGAATTTTTGTTGAGTTACAGAGACTTATTGGGTCAACATCGACCCAGGTAATAGTGTCAGATTACAAATAATTATTCAAATGCTTAAAAATTGTATATAGATTTATTACCTACGTAATGAATCAGTTAGGTACGCAAAAAACATCTGCTGGTGTAGCAGTCTGAACATAGCTTGGAGATACTCATCTATTCTTTCCATCTGTCAATGATGTTCATCTTGATTTGCCTAGTGAAGAATTACATATAAATTTGAGAGTTACGCTCATAATTAATTATGAAATTCCTATCCAAACTGAGCGGCATTTTATTTGCTTGTCAATGCTTCTTTGTAGATAACAATAATCAATAACGCCTTTATTGAAAGGTACACTAATTTTTGTTATAAAAAACATTAATCAGATCTGAGAGCCCTTTCATAACATGTGACTTAATCGTCATAACATTAACTACTTCAATTCCTTTAGTTACTAATATCAAATATACGTTATTAGTAAGCATTAATATATATTTTACAACACATTTACCACCAATAATTAAATTTGTACACCTCCTGTCTGACCTGAGGGGCATTTTGAGTGCCTGTAGATGTTCCTCGGTGACCTCCATGTATATGGCCTGCAGCCAGTGCGGCATCACGGCCTCCCAGACAGCGATGGTGACCACCTCGTACGGCACGAGACAGAACAACCGACGGAAGCCTTCAAATATGTGCTCTGATCTCGGCGACAGCGTCTCCCTGTAAACACGCACCATAAAATATGTGCTCTGATCTCGGCGACAGCGTCTCCCTGTAAACACGCACCATAAAATATGTGTTCTGATCTCGGCGACAGCGTCTCACTGTAATCATGTAGAAAATAAATCATTTATTAATTTTTGGTACTCAAAATAAAAATTTCAATTCCCATGCTTATATTACCGAGAGAAAGTACTATCAGAAGAGCAATATGGATGGAGACTAGGTTTATATTCTTGGCAAAAAAACTATATCAGCTAGTGTCTCTACATCGCTGTGTACATCACACACTGGGTGATGTACATAGTGCATGGGCTGTGTCAACATACATAAACCAACCTACAATCCAGTAACCCATCAATCCTCAATCACCACACTAATAGTACAGAAACCTATCACCCACACCCCATTGGTCCTACAACACCCCAGTAGCCTCCAACTCCCCAGCCTCACCCCAGCCTCACCCCAGCCTCACCCCAGCCTAACCCCAGCCTCATCAACCCACCAGTGCCCCCCGACGCGGCAGTACTCAGGCGGGTGAGGCAGGAGGCAGTCGATGAAGACGTTGAGGTGCGTCTTGCACACCTCCTGCAGCCACCCCTGTAGGTGCTCTGACTTCAGCCGCTCGATGGTCACGCCGTGTTGTTCTGATTTTAGTGTCACCACAATTACTGGTTATTACTGTGATGTTATTGGCAGCTGGTAGTGACTTATTGTTAGGTGATAAAGTGCACCATGTTAATAAGACAACGAGATTGTGATTCTTTTCAATTCTTACTGGTCAGCACTCACCGTCTGGCATATACTGGGTGACGGTGAAACAGTGACATACCGGACTCACCGTCTGGCATATACTGGGTGACGGTGAACCAGTGACACACCGGACTCACCGTCTGGCATATACTGGGTGACGGTGAACCAGTGACACACCGGACTCACCGTCTGGCATATACTGGGTGACGGTGAACCAGTGACACACCGGACTCACCGTCTGGCATATACTGGGTGACGGNATGGGGTGAATGAAGGCAAGACCTGCGCCTCCCCCAGCAGACTGCGTGTGGGTGTTGGTATATGGGGTGAATGAAGGCAAGACCTGCGCCTCCCCCAGCAGACTGCGTGTGGGTGTTGGTATATAAGGTGAATGAAGGCAAGACCTGCGCCTCCCCCAGCAGACTGCGTGTGGGTGTTGGTATATCGTTGACGTTTGACGTCGTGTACTTCGTTCAGTTGACTGCTCGATTATGTTAATGTTTTATCAGTTCACTTCATGATCTCAATGCTTTAAACGCTATTATGTGAGCCATTATACATAGAATATTGATGTCTTGAAAGGATGTACAGTATATTGTCAAAAAATACAAATATTGATTTCTTGACAGGAATAACATATAAATAAGTTGATCAGCTGCATTTCTTGCGATAACCTAAGTTAAGCATAATGAATTTCATATAATCGTATAAAATATATATCCTTCTAACAATTCAACTGTTAAATGACGAGTAAAACCTTCACGGACTGCAATTAAATGGAAAAGCTCTGACCTGACGATGCACTCTACGAGGAAGCTGGTAATCTGAGGAGGCTGGTCCCAGACGGAGGTTATGGCGGTGTGAACTTTGTGGTCATCTGTGCCTCGTCGGGTGCTGTGTCGGATGGTGTTGCATTGCGAACAATAACGAACAGGTTTGTTGTTGTTGTACACGCAGCACTCGAGACTGAAACACGTCGCTATCGCGTTCTTCTCCGTCGACCGGCAGTTCTGTTTAGAGGCAATTCCCGAGTGCAGTAATTTATAACGATGCTTATAAGACAAAGGAAGGGCCTTGAATACATTTAATTTTTATTAAAATATCAATCGTCTACCTATAAAGCGATGCATTCACATTACGTAGCACAGCTGGTCTAAGGCTTGATAGAAAACAACTGCCAACAAATTACAATCTCATACTGCAGCAATGCTGGTAACAACTTGACTTACATAAATCATATACTTAAATCCATACAATCACCCATTGCTCAGACGAAATAATGTAATGACCTTGTTACATACAATCACCCATTGCTCAGACGAATTAATGTAATCACTCTGTTACCACACGCCGTAATGCAATCACCATGTTCTCACACGACGTAATGTAATGACCTTGTTGTCACACAACGCATAATCACGTTGTTCTCACACGATGTAATGTAATCACCTTGTTCTCACACGACGTAATACAATCACCATGTTCTCACACCACGTAATGTAATGACCTTGTTCTCACACAACGCATAGATGTAATCACCTTGTTCTCACACGACGTAATACACTCACCTTGTTCTCACACGACGTCGCGATGTTGGTCATTGGCTTGAGGACGTCTTGGAGCTCAACGTTGCTCTGGTTTTTCTCGAGTTGTTCCTTGCACTTAAGGCACATGTAGAGGGGCGGCGCTGTGTCCGGGCAGGCGCCCAAAGCTGTCACGTGGTCCATGCACGCCACCATCATCGGGTGTTTGTGTTCTGCTTCACAGCTGCTCCTCTGGCATGGTAACGCCTTCCACCCTAAACCAGTACACTCGGTCACTGGTTGTACAAACTTCCGCGGCAGTGCATTAAAGCCATCAATCACTAGCTGTCCCAGCTGTCTCGGTAGTGCATCAAACAACAAGCCACTGGTGGTACCAATTTCCCTGAAACTGCATCAAATCTCCCAATCACAGGTTGTACCAACTGGCCCGGTAGTGCATCAAACCTAGAAATCACTGGATGTACCTGCTAGATCTTCATCATGCAGCATCAAGCCTTTGCATAACAACTAATTTCATCTGTACCAGCTCTAGCCTGGGACTTTAGTCCTAGACTAGAAATTAAAAAACCAAAGCAATCACAATTGGGAATCCTGCTTAATTCATTGCTCTCCCAACGAGGTCTCAATCCGATAGGTCTAACTAGGTCAATTCATCATCACTTCACCGTACTGCCCAACGCTCCACCTCACTTTACCGTACTGCCTAACGTTTCCCTCACTTCACCGTACTGCCTAACGTTTCCCTCACTTCACCGTACTGCCTAACGTTCCCTCACTTCACCGTACTGCCTAACGTTCCCTCACTATATCGCTCTAACCTAACGTTCCCCTCACTTTAAGGTCCTTCCATCGCTAAATCTTAATTTTGGGTTTGCACAAACACTAAAATTGGTAGCCTGCCATCAATAACTATCAAAACATTACACATTTTCTCGAGAAGAAAGCGATATCTCGGCAAGTCTGCGTGTATTGAATCATAATCAATGATTATAACCTAAAATATTTCAAGTAAAATTATTGGATAAAATTATTTAGATAATGAAGGAAAGAAAGTTAGTAAGAAAAACGTGTGGGTAGTTAATGCGAATTTTGGTTTACTTTCGTTCGGTTATTAACAATTATTGTTCATCCATTAAGAAGTGCTGAGAAATTTTTTAATTATTAAAACACAGAAAAAATGCTAAAGTTCGTTAGATTTTGAGTGATTTTCGTGAAATTTCATTACGTTTCTAGGTTTCATATAGTGCATTAAGCTTAAGTAAAAGTTCAATTTCAAGTGTAGAAATAGTCAAAAGATAGGCAGAGTGGTTTGAATTACAAAATTCGAACCATCCCACAGGTTCTTTTTCGTTTGAATGTCAGGCTAGTTATGAAAAAAATCCTAGATTAAAATTGACTGAATGCTTATTAACATCATAAGTAACTTTACCTGCTCGCACAAAACCAAAGAGCGTGCACATAAAAATACCATGCGTTGATAAAATATCATACATTTTACGTTGAGAAAAACGGGCTATCTAATTGAAGCTTTAATAAGCGTTAAAAATACGTTCAATAAATGAGTCTACGAAAGTGCCCGGATTAAAAAATTTTACTGAGAATTGAATATTACTCGTGCAGTTCATACATTCTTTCATTGAAACTGCAATCCCTCCAATAAACATTGTTCATTATTTGATTTAGGAAAAATTGTTATGTTACTCCACAAAAATTTGCGGGCAGCCGACCGAGCATCATAATCGTGTCCTGATTATTTTAGAATAATAATCAACAGTTAATAAAAGATAAAGAGAATATGGAAGGCTGATGTTCAGGCATGACAACCATCCTATAGTTTATAATCATCATTGACTAAAAAAGGCAGCTGACTAACCATCAATCATTATCTTCGTCTAATACAGCCATCGGCAAGCGCTCATCTTAAGACCCAGCTTAAGTCAGTTGCCATCTAGAATGGCAGTAACTTTTCCATCTCAGCTGTAATATTATTCTAATATAAAGTCGAAAGAAACACTTCGTTTTAAAATGTCAAAAACAGCTGTTTACATTCACGAAGTTATTATTCTTTGTACTATATTTAATAGTCAAGATTAATAGCTTCAAATTGAATTTAAAACCTTGCTAGCATACTGTCCGATGAACTAAAATTTTTGTTCTTCCAAATCAGTCAAAAGACCTTTGTGCTTCATTTGAAACATATTCCCCACTAAATCTATTAAATAGCGTACTTTTTCCTAAGGATATTACTCCACCAGTAGATGTTTGCATCAGACCATCTTTTATTACAGTTATTCTTCATGCAAATTATAATGCAAAAATAGCATTAACATTTCTGCAGCGGTCATAAACAACGAAAGCAAAAAGCGAAGGATGGACAGAACTGATGAAAGAGGGAAATGGGAGCAGGCGGCATGCAGTTAACACTCTAATATTGTGTGCTGGATCCTCAGAGAAGTGGCAACATCGTAAATGCTTGCATAATATTTAGTCGTGCGTTCAATACAATAAAATCCCAATTGTGAAAGTTGAGATAAATTTGTGCGTCATGTGCAGGAATTAGGATCATTGCGGGAGTTGCTGAGAATTCAGCCATGAGATGTTCGGACTGACATTTGATGCGTACAAAGAATTCCTTCGTGAAGTTCTGTATTTGCACTAAAGGTACTCTGCGGTCAAAAGGAATTTTGGGCTTGAAACATCAGGTGATATATTATATATAATCGGTGATAATATTTTAGCTTAGAAAAATAATTACTTACTCATAGCTAAATTATTACGTGATTAGGGCAAGATAATTCGAACATTGTTATTCAAATATCAATCATTATATCTCGGTCAAGTCCAGTACATCTTACAAGCAGTTCATATCAACAAATTTTCATGCAAATGCCATGAGGAACAACGGCCAAATTGGCATGCTGAAGCGAAAGACATTCCAGTAATGGAAATAAAACAAGAACTAATGACGAATACTATTTTTCTATGAATAACATAAGAAAAATAGTTTGAATACCGGGAGATTGAGTTCCGGGTACAATCTAAATCTGCTACGCGGTTATAAGAAAAGATTTTGATGCGACTGAGGTCTGGATGGTCTGGGTTACACTTGCATCCATCGTTTACTCGGAGATTTGATAATTAGGAAAACGATTGTGTACTTGGTCCTGATCAATTAATAAGAGAGAAATGATCGAATTGCGTTACATTTACGCTGCTAAACTTTTTCTTAGAGCAGTGCACAATTTTAACATAATATATAATGTATAATTTATATTTTGTTTCTTGAATTCCAAACAACTGTTTTTTTATTAATCAGGTATATAATTATATGGAAGTCAAACTCATATATCATTATGAAAGTTTACAATTTACGACAAGGCTGATTTTAACACCCGACTCATTGAGCGCTAAGAAATAGTCTCAACAATTTATGAACAATAACAGTCCCGGACATGATCAGTGTTCACATGATAACAAATCTATTGAAACAGAAATATCTATATTTCGTCCGGCAAATAATTTAGTAAATTCCATGGTTGTGTGGGGGACGATCTCACGAGAAATTAGTGCCTGCGACCTGAGCTTCAATATTCGTCGAAGTGAACAATGCGTCAAGCACCAGTGACCAGTTTTTGAACAACATAATTTGGTGTTTGGAATTGCGTTACAATTATGAAAATTTGGGAAAAATAATATAAGAAATATTTTTATGACTTGCCTTCCGAAACGCGGAGAACTATTCCCTCAAAATGCAAAACATGATCTGGAAATGCGCGATTTCATAAAATCATTTTTTACGCATTTCAGGAATTACGTAAGGTACATAATGCAAAGTTAGTTCAAGTAGAAATTAGAGCAGAAAATGCAGCAAAAAACCGATAGCGTTGGAATTAATTGACCAACAACTACTGAAGAATCGCTGCACGAGCATATGAGTACTCAACGATGTACAACGGAGCTAGCACAAGCTACTGTAGTAGCGCTACGTCAACAACCTTACAAAATACTGGCAATGCACTAGTGATTAGAGTCAAACGTGAATGAAAGTTACAAGTAAAAAGAGCGTTATTTTCTAAGATAGGCAACTATATATAAAGAGTATTAAGTAGTGTGAGATCAATTAAAATGTTCTAAGGAATTTTGAGGCTTGAAAATAAATAAGGGAATAATGAGAATACCTTTGGGGGTTTTCGATTCCCTTGTGTCAGAACTAGTCACGGTATGAGGCTGCGCAGAATCTGCTTTTGCCTGCGCTGGCTTATTGAACATTGCCATCAAGACGCACGATATGTCTAGAAAGAGAGAACAACACAGGCGAGTGCGCCGGTGAGATATGAGGTATAATAGAAAACATATGAATTAACTTTCATTCTCATAAGAGGACCTATAACTCAACTATTTAATGAAATAGTTATTCGGACAGAATTTCTTCCAAATTATGGAGTTGTCAGCTTGAGTTCTCTCGTCACAATTGAAAATGTCTGTTGAAGGTATATTCCATTCTCATAGGGAATGGGCGATATGCTTCGGGATATATGAGGGTATGGATCTACTATCAACTTCGGGGATGAAGTAGATGAACACGTTGCTTACTTTGGCATAAATAAAGGGACCAGTGGTCATCAATAAATAGAGCCGAAATAAAGGATATCTCCAAACATAAGGAATGACATATTAATCCTGTGAAACAGAAAGCTTACCTAGAAATTAAATCAGTAGAATTAAACTCGGAAAGTTTTCCTCGTAGGTTTAATGTTGGGTATGAAGATGATCGAGGACACGAAATAAGAAAAATTGAGCTGCCCTTCACCCCAAAGGGCGATTAATAGAATTGAAACTAACTGTACAATACGTTTGTTAAAAACATAATTAATGTTCACCAACTACAAAACACAAAAATGCAGTAAAATTTAAGCGGTAAACTGAATAATTAGTCGTGAATTTTAATACGGTATTCAGACGTTTTTCAATAAGAAGTGAAGGTTTTTATACGCCGCATTTTGATGAGGAAGTTATGAGTTATGAGTAGAACGAATGTGTAAATTTTCTCTTGATTGTTAAAAATGTTTATTAATTAACAAAATTCTCTACAAGCTCGAATTCTAATTGCTTATACATATCAATTTATCGAAAAAAATCACAAATTAAAACGAGTTAGATTAAACTTGATTCCTAGTTTAAAATCCAGAAAAAGACTAATTTGTATTCGCAATCCTTTTCATATATACATCCATCAGAAAAACAAGGATAATTCGTATATGTTGAATCACTGCGTGTCACTCAGTAATACTCTAATAAAGGAGAGCGGTAAACAGTATAGGTTGTTAGGGTGTTATACTCACTAAAGTGTTATACTCTAATGTAAGTAATAATTATATTTGTGTACATATTGAAGTAACTACCGTACTAATAGATTATGACTGAAATAAATGCGCGTAATTAATTGTAAGCAGTTTGGTAATTAATTTCTCCTTAAATTGATAATCGATCTCGTTATATTGCAAGTCTTGACAGCGATAAAAGTAATTTATTGTTAATAACAGGTATATTAGCTGAAGTAAAAAAAAGTTCTTGTTAATACACAAAAAAACAGACACTTAAGCACACAGGGAAATTGATGGCTGACAATCAAGAAAACAAAGTAGGACCGATAATATTTGTTTTCATTACTGAACGATGTTGCTGAAATTAATGAATAATAATTAAATGAATATTAAATCCAGATAAAAAGTATTTTTTACAATAAATAAATACTTCTGTATTTATTTAATTCTGTATTCAAGTGAATCTATAGAATATAGATTGTAGAATATAGAATGTATAGAATGTATAGAATCTATAGAATGTAAGTGAATCTATGAATCTATAGAATGTAATGGGATGCGAACATATGTTCATGGTACCAGTACCGAGTTGTTAGAATAAGTTTTATTTACACTGAATTAAAAATGAAAAAGTGAATGTAAATTATCGCCTCCTTATAATGAACTATAAAGATAGAGGATACTCGCAAATAATTATTACGATTATGTGAAAGATTAGTTTAAATGATATTCAAGTATCGAAAATTGTCAATTTTTTGGTGGCCATTTATCCCAATTTCCATCTACCTCGCCAAAATATGGAAAATGACTGGATTCAAAGGCTTCAAATTATTTTAAAAAAGCGTGCATTGATTGGTAAAGCGTGGGACTTTTGGCAATGATAACATTGTGTGTGGAAATGACACGGTAAATATAGCAGTCAATGTCATACATGAATATAAGTCCCTAGTAGAATTATTGTATTTTAGAAACAATGGAACCTCGAACAATTGTGAGATGCATGAGCACCTCGCGTCCTTTGAAGCACCGTTTGAGCACCGTTTTTACATAAACGGAAAAATGTTTTAGTAATTCGCGTGAAATTAGTTTGAAAATAAAATTTGCAAGTAAATCTCCCATCAGTTTGAATACAAACCAAATGAGCAACTTTTTATCGCCCAACAATCTGAACTTCAACAGTTAAAAAAGTAAGGAGCTTTTGCATCTTCAATCTTTGATAAAAACAATAAAAGACTCCAGCCGAGAAACTTATTTGCAACAAATTGTGTGATTAAAATTTGGAAAAAAGACAAGCACTCGCAGCGACTACACTACATCAGCCGATGTTAGAATGATCTCAACTTACGATTATTTATGAGTTTATAAAATTAGTAGTGTTAACATCGTCAGTATAATACAGTCCTCCTTTGCTTCTCAATGGGCATTTGGAAGGCTAACAGATTCATAACAACAGTATAAATGAAGTACAGAAATCTAGAAGATTTACTCCATTGAAACATTCACATGTCATAACATCATTTAATCATTGAACATCACATTGAATTTAGAGCAATAGGTAGTCATGGACTCAGGAGTGAAGAAATTTACAGTTGAGGCTGCACACTTGAGGTCGTCAAGATCAAAGAGAACAGTTCGATCTGGAGAACAGTTCGAGAACAGTTCAACCTAGAGAACAGTTCGATCTAGAGAAGAGTTCTAACGTTATGTTAATGCCGAGCGGTTCCATATGGAACCAAGCTATAATTTTTCACATACAACGAAAAATAAATATATGAACATATTTTTTGCTTATTACCATCACAAATGATAATATTCTCACAAGGAACCGAAAAAAAAATCAGAAAATAATTCTCGTCATCAATGGGTTAAAGAGTTCTAAGACTCTCTCTCTCTCTCTCTCTCTCTCTCAAACTCGCAACGAACAAAACCGAGTCTCATCTAATAACAGGGATAGAAATTCTAAGGAAATCAACTCTCGCGTCCCGGTGTCCATTTGTTGTCATTTGAGACCTTGGAAATTGTGATAATTTCATCAAAGCTTAGGGTTTTTTAGTTAAAAACAATTGAATAGCAAATAACCAATCAAATATTTATACGCACATTTTAATTTAAAAAGCTATAAAATAACTTTCACAGCCTTTTTCGTATTCACAGACTTTTGTTCTTTTTTCAGTTAGCGCAATTTTTATTCTCAGGTTCAGTTAGTGCAAGTAAGATGAATTTAAAATTTCCCTAACCTAAATTCATTCATCTAAATCGTATTAATCTGATGTGTAAAATGATCTTTTGGGATGTACGAAGTGTATAGGACCAACAGAATGTTATTTTCGGAGATTCAAATATATATATACATAGATTTTCATAGTTCCTTCGTTTGCGTTGCTTTCTGTAACACAGTGATTATTTAAGATTTCGCGACAAGGATTGTTGTTTGTAATTATTGTAAGGCTCTTGTTCATGTTCTTGTATTAAAAGCTTGCCACGGAAGACGTCAGTTTTTCATCACTAAAAAGTTTATCCATGCAATTAAACACAAGATTCTTGGCAGCAAAACTAGCACCCAGACTCAAGACGGGCAAAAATTGACTGGTTATTTGAAAATCGGCATCAGATTTCCAGCAAAAAGGCAAATCTATCTCATAAATCGTTTACATTATTATTTTCCGTTCTGAGGAAAGACTCTTCAGGATTTCAGATAATATTTTTTTGCACGATTTGTTGGTTAATGTCCGACGAAAATTCAAGGCAAGTACAAGAATAGCAAGAAATTATCTTTGGATTGAAAATGTTTTATGAGATTTGTCACGGACAACCGATGCATCAAACAGAAGTATTTATTGTCTTCTTGACGACATTTAATACTCTAAATATTACTAAAAAATTAAGGTATCCGGTACGGTATGTTTACTTTAAAACTGCGGATTTTATGGACAATCTCAAGGTTTTGGTTTTCGTTGCTTTCATTAATCGAGCTCATGATACACCCTCAAGGAAGTTTCATCACAACAAATAGAAGCAAATTATTTCTTGTATATAACACAAGCTTTGTGGAACTGCAACCCAAGACTCGTGTGGGAAGCAGCAAGGTTCTCTCGGTGGAGCCAACAGTGATCCATCAAAAGCTGTCACGTCAATGCAACAAATTGCAACACTCAAACACCGAAAACACTCACATACAACAGATCTTAACATTTCTCAGCAAGTACATTACACGAATATTCGTATTATGTCCAATGTTCATGTTGGATGTATTTTAACGCTATGGTCTCTATTCAATTTGAAATTAGATCCAAAAGCAAATAAAATGGAAGGAGGCATAAAATCTTTGAAATATAACTATTTCCTTATCAATGTTTTCCCAGCTTAGATAAACAAAGACAAAAAATATTATGTAACCGTATATGGAGATAAAGTCCGAAAATAATTTTGCAACTTGGCTTGCAATTGCCATTTGATTCAACACTACGTTGTATATGAAAACAATTGATCAATTTTATTCAGTTGTGAAAATGAATTATTGTCGACCTCGGTAAGAGATAAAAAATTATGTTCTTGGAATTTAAATATCAAATATGTAATGTTATCATGTTGTTGAGCTGTATGCATGGATGAACTTTTTTTCCTGACACTTTTATGTTTATTTAAATAAAGCCTGCATAATAAGACAGCTAGACTTACCGCTGAGCTTGATCGGCATTCCCTTGCGATCGAAAAGCTTAGGATTGAGGTTAGGCCAGTAATAAAATAGGAGGTTGGCTGCAGGTATCCTGGAGCCTGGAGTGCCGTGGGCGATGACGCAAAACAAATCCTGGATGACGTGACACTTGACAGACATCAGGCACTCGATGAGCTGGCAGTGGTATGCTGCAGAGGGAAATGATGGCGTTAGTGTTGGATGAGGTACATCATCAATGGTATGCTGCAGAGGGAAATGATGGCGTTAGTGTTGGATGAGGTACATCATCAATGGTATGCTGCAGAGGGAAATGAGGGCGTTAGTGTTGGATGAGGTACATCATCAATGGTATGCTGCAGAGGGAAATGATGGCGTTAGCATTGGATGAGGAACATCGTTAGTTGCATGGTGCACAGGGAAATGATTACGTTAGCCTTAGATGATTCACTTCGTCAAACAGTGATATGCTAGGACGTAAAAATGATGCTAAACTTCATACATCTCATAGGTTTCAAGGCTATAGAAGTCAAAACTCTGTGCAACTTAGACATCATGGCGTTAACAGAGAGAACTTCACACATTTCAGGCGCCAAAATATTGACTTGAAAGCATGTCGCCATCGGGTGCTTGCTAGACGCCAGTTAGTCTATAATTCACACTTCACTTCTTTTTCATCTCCGCGGTTCAGCACGCTAGAGAGCATAGTAGCCTATAAAGTTCAAGTGTTCAGAGCCACAGCGCCATAAGTCCGCAGCCATGCTCAAGCTAGTCTCGTCTTTAGCTGCGTAAATCCAGCACGATCTTGCCTCCTAATTCTCATCAACACTCCACCAAAACAAACCTAACCAGATCTGACATAATCGCATTGGTTGCGGTGGAGTAGAAAGTAGTGGTAAGTGTTGAGGTAGGGCCATGCTGAGTTTGCATATTCATGATGACAAAGCCAAGTGTAGTGGTGCATGTTTAGCCCGAGAGTTGGCTCCAGAGATAGTTTAAGAGTTTAGTTTGTAGCCAATTGCTGCAGCCTCGTCGTCATGGCCTTCGGAATCTATTGTCACAAAACTGAGTTCTAGGAGAGGTGGATTAATTATGTTAGAAGGTAACACTTCGATGTACGTTTTTAAAGCTCATCACCTGTGCCTTTCTACACGGATGAATTTCCACCTCTGCCAGCCTTATAGGTACGTATAAGTTGGTGCCAGAGCGATGGTCGATAAATTTTCAACTTATCTTAGTTTGAAGAATACATTTTAAATAAACGTGTATTAATAATAAATTTAAATATGTTAAAATAAATATCAACGAATAAAAATAACCAAAATAAATTAAATTATAATAATATTCACCCGAGTTCTCGGTGTACTGAAGAATGAGCATAATGACTGCGGGCACTGACGCTGCGGCGTAGTTCTCTTCCTCGTTGAGCTTGGGAGTGGCGCCTGGTGTGGACACAGCGACACAAAAATGAGTTACTTAAGAGCACACGATCTAAAATGACTCTTGTAAAATTGTTTTATCGGGACATTTGATCGACTTTGAAGCAAACTATAAAGTACAAATGATTTAGTTGAGAAGCCCCACTAAATATGTAAAATGTGGAAAATAATTTAAACAACTTCAAACAATATTACACAAGTGAAATGAGCTACCGTTAATTGCGTTTTTAATTTCATTATGATAACTGTTCATATGAGAGTAGCACTGACCTACAGCAACAGGCAGTAACTGTTCATACGAGAGTAGCACTGACCTACAGAAGCAGGCAGTAACTGTTCATACGAGAGTAGCACTGACCTACAGAAGCAGGCAGTAACTGTTCANAAGCAATTTTACACAAGTGAAAAGAGCTAATGTTAATTGCGTTTTTAAATTCATTATGATTACTGTTCATATGGGACTAGCACTGACCTATAGAAGCAGGCAGTAACTGTTCATATTAGAGCAGCACTGACCTACAGAAGCAGGCAGTAACTGTTCATATGAGAGTAGCACTGACCCACAGAAGCAGGCAGTTACTGTTCATATGAGAGTAGCACTGACCTACTGAAGCAGGCAGTAACTGTTCATATGAGAGTAGCCCTGACCTACAGAAGCAGGCAGTACATGGAAACAGAGCGTCTTGAGCAGGAAGGGGTGGACGGTCTCGGGCGTCGTGGATATCATCGAAGCCACCAAGAAGGGCAGCGAATCCACGGTGTCGCGATCCAAGAAGATCATGAGGGTTGACCACAGCTGCAGGATGGCAGTTCCCAGCGCTGCGATGCAAAGCCGCCGTAACTTCACTTGATTAGTTTAGGTAATCATCTGGCATTCAGGTTACGAATATAGATTGATAATTAGGAGACAAATTGTAAGATGCAGTCTGACCACGGCTTGCAGGTTCTTCTAAGTCTTTGAGCCGCGTTTATCACCGAACCTGTGGACTGCCACGCAGTTTATACCCACGACAACGGCAACTAATGTTATCAGTCGTTTAGGAGCAAATACAGTGGAAAAGTTAGATATCATCCGTATACGAATAGTATTTACTCGCGATGTTTGTCAATGATGGCGAAATGCAATTAACACAACATGAATGTTTACCTTTATCTTCTTACGGTAATTCTTTTTAGCAGGCCTTTAGGTATAAATATCAATAAAAACAGACAATTGATCCGTGGACAAGTTGTAAAGTTCTCACCATGTTTGGCGAAGGTGACGAACTGGAGGAGGTCCAGCAAGTGGGTGAGGGCGGTGTGCAGGCCGAAGTAGTCCAAGCAAGGGAAGAGCGTGAGGCGCATCTCGTCCTGGTCGCAGTGTCGCAGCATCTCCACAGGCGCAGACTTGATGTCGCGCAGAACTCCTGTGTCGGTGGACGTCTACTGATTAACCCTCTGTCGACTGACTGGTAATGCATTCAGAACTCCTGTGTCGGTGGACGTCTACTGATTAACCCTCTGTCGACTGACTGGTAATTACAGAAGCAGGCAGTAACTGTTCATATGAGAGTAGCACTGACCTACAGAAGCAGGCAGTACATGGAAACAGAGCGTTTTGAGCAGGAAGGGGTGGACGGTCTCGGGCGTCGTGGATATCATCGAAGCCACCAAGAAGGGCAGCGAATCCACGGTGTCGCGATCCAAGAAGATCATGAGGGTTGACCACAGCTGCAGGATGGCAGTTCCCAGCGCTGCGATGCAAAGCCGTGCGTAACTTCACTTAATTAGTTGAGGTAATGGCATTCAGGTCATGAATATTGATTGATAATTAGGAGACAATTTGTATGATGCAGTCTGACCACGGCTTGCAAGTTCTTCGCTTTCATTCGTATACGAATAGTATGTACTCACAATGCTTGTCAATGATGGCGAAATGCAATTTACGGAAAATGAATGTTTACCTTTGTCTTCTGACATTATTTCTTTTTAGCAGGCCTTTTGATATAAATGTCAATGAACACAGACAATTATTGATCCGCGGACAAGTTGTGAAGTTCTCACCATGTTTGGCGAAGGTGACGAACTGGAGGAGGTCCAGCAAGTGGGTGAGGGCGGTGTGCAGGCCGAAGTAGTCCAAGCAAGGGAAGAGCGTGAGGCGCGTCTCGTCCTGGTCGCAGTGTCGCAGCATCTCCACAGGCGCAGACTTGATGTCGCGCAGAACTCCTGTGTCGGTGGACGAATATTGATTGACCCTCTGTCAACTGACTGGTAATACATTCAGAACTCCTGTGTCGGTGGACGTATACTGATTAACTATCTGTCAACTGACTGGTAATGCATTCAGAACTCTTGTGTCGGTGGACGTTTACTGATTAACCCTCTGTCGACTGACTGGTAATACATTGTCCGGTGCATGTTAATTTCGTTACCGGGCATTGACACGCGAATAACATTGGAAAGTTCAATGTATTTCCAAAGGAAAGGATGATATTTTATACAAAGTAACTCACCTAGCAGCAGCTGGTTGAAGTACTTCAGAATATTGGCGATCTCCACCCCAGATGGTGCCGGAACTGTACCCTGTACCAGCCGCAGCTGGAACTCCGATAAGTTCCGGATTTTGGCTGTGACTGTGACGTAAAAAATTAGTTCAAATATTCACCACACTTTAATTAGCGTGGCGAACGTACGAATATATGAAAGTAGTTCATAGATTCAGTTTAAATTTACCCTATTAGTCTCATTTAGCTCCTTTCCTCCTTTTAGTGAAATGTAGCTTCCGTGAACCTTGTTAGCCGTCGGCTGTTCCTTTCAACCTGAATGTAGGCCGTTGCTGAATAGCGCCTCGCATATATAACCTTAATTATTCACAAACCTCGCCATCAATGTCTACGTTCAAATAATATCAGTTGACTACAAACGGCATGACTTTTTGAGGGTTAACTTAAATATTTTTGCCTTATATTGCGCTCACTAGCGACTTCTGTCTTGAGGGACTAAAACTTCTGTAATGTTTACGCTGAATTGCTATGTATTCTTTAAATGGGTTACAATTCGTTTCCCTCACTGACCATCATTAATAATTTCGCTACATATCATAGGAAATTTTCTACTTACAATTATTCTATCTTGCAATATAATTCATGTGACGTAAGCCGTACTAAAATGTCCAATGACTAATTAAAATCTGATAAATACAATAGAATGAATACATTATGATTATAAGTCATCATCGAATGTCATTCAAATTAGTTATGCATTAAATTTTGGCTATACCAACTGTACCAATCATTTTTAATTCAAGCATGCATTTTATGACATTATCTTAAATTCAAACAAAATCTTCATCCCAGCAACATCTCCATCATTTGCTGTTAAAAAAATGTATGACAGCACGGACCATACCATCAGCGAAATAACTTCACCGATCATTGTTCAGTTACATTCAAAATTGGAACATTGAACTCAATTGTTTCCGTATTTTTATATTGAAAATACTCCGCCATTTTCTATTGGCCTGTGAAATTTCTGTATTATAAATTTGTTCATATAAGAAATTAATTCGTTAATTTAAAGGCAAAGACTCACACGCCGCCGCCCGGGTGCCCATGTCTGGGGTGCGTACGTTGGGTCGGCTTCAGTCCAGCAATTACGCACTGAAAAATAAAAAGTATATAATTATGAAATAATATATTCTATATTTATGATGTGTACACATTAATGTTTAAATAGAAAATCTTACCATGAATTTGACTTAAAATATTTATGATAGAAATTTCTAATTTAATAGTCCCGTAACACCGAATCTCGTCATTTCGAAACATGAAATTCAGAATTTCATCATCCGAAATTCCGCCTTTTCAAATCCTAATATCCCGAAGCCCATAATATCGTAAATAAGACGAAATTGTTATTAAAAAGAAGTGTCACTTGGTTTGCAGGTCATGCACAAATTAAAAAATTTTAACATTCATAAATTCTGACAACTCGAAACAAATGAATGTCTTATAACATTTGAAATTAATGGAGGCCTAACAAAATTCTCTGCCATTGAAATTCAATGTTTTCCAGCTAGATCCTGACACTCCTGACTATTGGAACGTGGAACATTGTTCCGCTAATCTCATTTATGGTACCAAGATGAACCGAACTGTCATGATTCTGGTTCTCAATCGAATATAACTATTCTGTTTCTAAACTTATCCAGCTAACCAACATTCTGGATCTTAACCGAAACAACTAAACACCATTTTGTCTCTCAACAGATAATTTAAACCGGCTTAGCATTATAATTATTATTCTGAGTCGATAAATTCATCGAAGTTATGATTTTCAATCAATGAAGGTTTGCGCATTCATAAAGATAGGAAAGTTTAAATTTATGAATACAAAAAAATGTAATATAATTAAAGGTGATATTAACTCTTAAAAACAGGAGTTACGATCTCTCTCAAATGTGTCTTCCCATCTAAAAATATTTCAAACTAAAAAATATAAAAATAAACAACAATCACTCAATCCATCAGCAGGATCCATCATTTGTTTTTAAACTAAAACTGACGCCGATCACAGCCATGAAAAAGAGATAACGTTCTTCACGACTTGTCGGAAATATTATGACCGTTTTAAATTAAGCCTGAAGATTAATTTATTTGTTTGAAGTCCATAGATGGATTATAGCTGGTTATTTAACGATTAACTTTATGTGATAGTTTATTATGATTTGGAAGAGATAGCGCCAGCAAGAGACTGGCTCACGCAAATAAGACAGCACGTAAAGAGCACATCAGTTGAAGCAATCACCTTTAAAATATTGTTGACGTACAATGACCGTGGTAGTAGCAAAGCATGATTAATCAAGTGTTGGATCCATAACAGAGTTTCCATTTAGTTAATCACTCAATATTGTACTCACAAAGGAGACGTAAAGAAGCTATTGGTCTATAGAATTCATCTCGCGACGTCTACATCGCACGCAGGCTGAGATGCAACTGACCTGCCTGGCTCTTTTCGGCGGCTTAGTTTATGCTACGTAAAGAGGAGCATAAACAAATGGGGGAACATGCAGGAGGAACAACCGGAGAGAGCAAAATTCATGGGGAAAGAGTGGATAAATAAGATATTTGACGAGTCGGAAACGACAAACACTGCATTATTGAAGGTTTATGTGCGACCAAGGCGCAGGTATATACTACATACAGTGAATTATGCTGTTAGAACTGGAAGAGATCCAAGACTTTTAGATCTCTTTCAGTCTATATCCTATAATCCTATAATATCCTATAATTGAATCCTATGGCGTATCGTCTAATACTTCAGACTTCATAAAAATGTTCGAGCACGTTTGTTCCAGTTCGTATTCTTACCATGCGAATTTCCTAAGTCTTGTCTAGTCATTTGAATACCTTTACGTGGCTAAATGAAATTAGAAAGAAACGACGGCATTCGCCAGGTTACGACAAGAAATTTCAATTTTCAATTCCATATATAACGGCTGTGAAGGATTTAAAAAAGCGCATTTTACAAAATTGACCAGACTGGACTTTTTCCAGGCAAAAAGAGTTTCTGGACTGCGTAAGCCACATCAGGCTACTGTCATGGCTGCTGATTGGGTCACTCCTGCATACCTGCAACCAGACGGGTACTGGTACCAGCATACCATCTGTGTGCATGTTGAACTGGACCTGTAACCCTGGACATGGACACACCAAGCCGACACCGGACCTATCAATTGCCGCTGATACTCTGATAACCCCCATGAACTGGACCTGTAACCCCGGACATGAACACACCAAGCCGACACCGGACCTATCAATTGCCGCTGATACTCTGATAACCCCCATGAACTGGACCTGTAACCCTGGACATGGACACACCAAGCCGACACCGGACCTATCAATTGCAGCTGATACTCTGATAACCCCCATGAACTGGACCTGTAACCCTGGACATGGACACACCAAGCCGACACCGGACCTAGCAATTGTCGCTGAAAACCGGACTATGCAGGCAATGTATGAGTTTACTATTGGTCCTATTTTCAAATCGATTTTTCTATAGAATGTCGTTCCTGTGATTAGTAAGTCGTTAAGTGGCTGATTTTAAAAACGTAATCTTTCTCCCCTTGAACTTAAACTTTCAGCGTCTAGCTATATACTTGTATATATGTCGCCTCTCAAAATACTGTTTTTGTTAATGCCAGAAGCTCATTCGTACAATTGGAAAGATATATCGGCTATCGAGGTCGACATATATGACGCCTGTGGAAATTTACGGTGAATAAATTTCAGCGAAGTGGTATGGATGCTATGTTGCCTTTTGCACTGTCAAAAAGGGTGGTCGATAAAGAGTGAAAACTTCATCATAAGGAGCAAGTGGACATTTATGTAACTGTAATGTGGAGTTAGTTCACCGTAGACTGTCGTGCCCCACCCTGTCGTACCGTAACACACTGCCGTACCGGGACCGTAAGGCCGTCTGGACCTCGAGCGGATGAGTTGTTGGAGGCTGCAATGGTCCCTGTCGAGGGGATGTTCAGCCCGGATTCGGCGTACGTATGAAGCGGCGGGTGGAGGGGCTTTGAGGATGTGGGGCGATCGAAGTGAAGAGTGTACAGAAGGCGGACGAAATCTTACGTTGGGAGGAGAGGGAATTAAAACCAAATTGAATTGGTTGATAGGGGGAGAGCGGTTGCTCTTTTCGGCTAGGGGACGAAGGAGATTCCAGTGCTTGGACTGGTGCATGCGTCTGCTGCACGACGCGAGATGCGTTTGCCAGGTTTTCCTGACATGGGCCTGTATGGAAATACGAATTTCCAGGTTGAGTTCTGGGAGCCGGAGGTCGGTTGGGTTGCGCGCCCCATCCATCCCGTCGCTCGATGAGCAGCCGGGAGCAAGGGTTGACTGAGGGGAAGAAGTTCTTCCGGAAGCCGGCAAGGATGGCTGTCTGGCAGCAGCCGCCAGAACCCCTCTCAGGGTCGTCTCGCCTCTACACGAGGTGGAGGAGGGACCGGCTTGAATTCCACCTCGATAGCTGCCGTGTAGGCGGGCCAGACAGCTTTCTTAAATTTGACGTAATAGCGGTCGGCCCGGGGGGTCGGGGAGTCAGCAGAGGTAGGAAGATGAATCAGAATGGGCAGGTGGTCAGAGTTAAGAGCGATTTGAGGAGTCCAAGATGTGTTGAGAAGTAAATGTTCGCTGATAATGGCGAGGTCCGGTGAGAAGGACGGCCATGGGAGAAGAGACGGGTAGGCGAGTTTTCATTGAGGTAAGCGAGGGGGGAGCCGTAGACGAGGTCCTCCACTGCGGTTCCTCTCGCTTCGGCTCTCTGGTCTTCAATGTTTGAGAACCAAGAGGGGTGATGGGCGTTAAAGACGCCCACCATTAGACAGTCACCCGAGAAGGTGAAAATATCTGAGAGATCCGGAGAAAATCGTGGGGGGCAGGAGGAGGCCGGTGGGATGTATATGTTGATTATGAAGAAGGAGGAGCCATTTAGAGGGGTGGAGATAGCTGTGGCTTTCACGGTAGTGTCACCGTTCAGGGGGAGGGGAGATATCGCGCCCAATATACGGGACGTCGTGGCGGATCAAGATGTGAAGACCGCCACCGTGACCATCGGGGCGGTCCCGGCGCTCCATCGCGTATCCGGGGAAGGAGGGGGAGCGGGATGCGGCTGATAGCTTGGTCTCCTGAAGACAGGAAATCGTCACATCTTTCTGGACGAGGTAAGCAGCCAGTTCGACTGCACTGGATTGAATCCCATTGCAGTTAAACTGGAGGACGCTGAGATGGGTAGATCCAGTCTATGGAGAATCAATGGATGGAGCGCAGGCCGGAGCACCGCTTGTGGGTGCAGGCGTTGCACCTGGAGCACAGAAATGAGTATCCTCGCCGGGGTTGGGATTGATAAGGAGGAAAAGGACGAGTAGGAAGAAAAGGTAGAAAGAGAGAAGGGCATAAGGTGTCCAGAGAAGGATAACCGGCCAAAGATATGGGCAGAGGAAAGGGGAGGCCGAGGTTCCCCAACCCTTAGGCGAAAAAATGGAGAAAGGGGCCTCCGTCCGACGGCGATCCGGGCAAGGGGGCCTCTGCCGTTTGGCCTGACCCAGGAGTATGCCGGGCATCCGGCCGACGCGCGGGCCGGGGTACCCCCACGACGTAGACGCGGCAGAGATCGGGGGCAAAGCCGACGTAGAGAGTTGTTAGAGATTTGCATCACGCATTGGTGAGTAATTTAGTGTTTTATTATATATATTGTTTCTTAAAATGATCTAAATTTTCTAGGAGGCTGTACTTTTGGAGCCGTATGGTATTTCTTAGTCAGTTCAATAGCTATTTAAAAAATGGCCAATATCCGATGTCAATTAAAAATAAAGCTAAGCATTTGAGGAGGAAGAAATGTGAGGTGCAAATGTTCTCCTTGATAACTCTTTGTAAGTGTTCGTTTATTTCTCTGATGAGGACCCCTCGTGGCATTTATAGTTCAAAAGACTAGAGAAGAAAGTGCCGGAAGATAGAGGAAGGTGGCAACCCTAATGGACGTAACTTTTCACTGTTTCCCTTGCTAAGTTTTTCTGATTATCTGTATCATCGGTAGAGGCTTAAGGAACAATGATAACGATATACCCTGCAGACAAAACCATGACTATTTACTGTGCCATGAAACCGAGATGAAGACTCCTGTGGAGACAATGCTCATTCGATGACTTGGATATTTTTGCACGAATCCCTAGTGCTGAAATAATATTGATTCGATTTCAGTTGAGACTGCGCTTGCACATTGAATGTAAGGAAGCGAAATTACTTGTTGAGCTGAAATTCCTTATTTGAATCTCAAGTTATCTCACCTTACAGGGTTCATGGATTGCCTATGTTAGAACCTATCCAATGTGATAATTGAATGTTCATTGTAATATCCGAAGACTTTCCTACATTTTTGGGAAAATCAAATCGGTTTTTGCCGGGCCCTGCGTACTTTTTTTGACGAAATTTATTCATTTTCATAGATTTGCATCGTTATTCTCAACATATTAGTGGGAGTCGCGTTGTATATCAGTAACAAACAGTAATGAGTTTGTATCAGTAACTTTGAAAACAGTAATGTGTTTACAGCTATTGTTGATACTGCAATTGTGAAGAAATACCTAGCTGAAAACTAGACGCTTAATTATTCTTTAATTAGGGGGAGGGTATCGATCAAAACAAAATTAGTTTATTAATTGACTGACAAATGCGAAATTTCATGCATGCATGTTAATAAATTGTATAAGCATATATATGAACTAGTATTTGTTTGATTGATTTATTTTTTTTGTGAGAAAACGAAATTAAACGTAAAATGTGAAGAAAAATTAAAAAGGGTGACATTTAAAAAGTTTTAAACTCATTATATTTCATTGCTAAAATTTCGGAAAACATACGTGTATATTACAAAAAAATGCTTATCAACTCTGGAGAATTTTTTTCTAATTTAATTTGTATTATTATGGGGGATTTTTTGTATATCCTTCCGTTTTTTTTATTATTCAAAAATTATTAGACAGAGAATCGTCAAAACCTTGCACGTGCTGCATCAAACAAAACCTTCAATAGATCTGTCTGCGACTGGGTGTTCTTCCTAGCGATAACTACGTATATATTAATTACGTGTGACACAGTATCAGCTGCAGTGCTATATTCGCCCTGGCTTTCTTTGATAGCAAAATCTAATTTTCCCATTATTGCGAGCCATAGCAACATATTCTTATTCTAATGACCTAATAGTTAATGATTCGATCAGAACACTCACTTATATATAGAATCACTATAAGATACATTCCCGCACCTATCTACAAAAACTGGAGCTTTTCCACGGATGATTAATTCTCAGTAATATTCGTAAACAAATTCTACTTTACGTACAAAAAAATATATGACATAAATCATCTGACCAAACTTCTGGGCTCGCATATGAATTTACTCTATATTCTGT